AGGACTCACAGTTCATGCTGTTCCTAAACTATCCATGAGCGTGTCTGTGTTGGTGGCCTTGGATTAATCACAAAGATGAATGTGAGATCAGCATCTCTAGTCACTTGGGCTTCATGAAGGAAATCGACTTTACACAATGTTGAAGCTTTCTTTGTGAGGAAGAAGAGATAAGTAGGAATGTGCACCACAGTCCTCCATACTGATTCCTCATTGCAAAATTTCACCTGCAACAATTTTAACTGTTGCTGAGCAGTTCACTGTGTGTTCATAGCATTTCATCACACACTCATATTGCATAATTGGTTTAATATACTTAAATTGCGTCTCATCATTCTTCTGTCCCTGAGATGTTGAGTTCCTCTCCAATACAGTGCGTACACTTGATGATTTTCATGTACGCAAAGAACAAACTATTAATCCATGTGTCAGAAACTAGGTCATCTAAAAAACATTAACATCAAATGTGCCCCGAAAGGTAGTTAGATGTCAGTGTATTTCCACATTCAGAAAAATCATAGAGATTGATCACTGTAATTTCAGTTAGCAAAAGTATTTTCCCTAATACTGGACATTCCACAAAGTTTCTTCCTGCTCTTCCATTTATTTACTCAGTAGCAGATTGTCCAGAAAGATTTAGAAGTGGTTTTAGGTTTATTTGCTTATAGTTTTATGAGTATTGATAAGGATGAAAGTGAAAGCTACAATTCTAAGATACAGATTCAACACACATATGGCAAATAAACCAACACAGAAACGTACTTTCTTTATGTATCTCTATATGTAGTGAAACTGTTTCTTTATTTCATCTTCTAACTACTAGAGCTGAATAGTAATATAAAAACAATATTTGCACATATTTAAGAATACACAATCATTGTATATACATTTACATTGAACATTTGTTCACACAAGAAATACACACATATGACCTAATGTAATATATCCACTATATGAAACTTGATATTAAGTGACACACAAAAAACAGTGCAATTTTCATTTTGTTCACTAATGGCAAAATTAATATACTCTCAATTTAAAATTGATGTTAATACTTTAGAGATGTAGTCGATTATGGTTTATTATTTTGCAGAATCTTGGCCCCAAAAGTACAATATAAGTTTAAAAATGCATCAGTACTATATTGCTGATAAGAAATCACTCAATACCTAAGTGGCTTGAAACAATAACTAATTTATTTTTACTCATGACTCTGTTTATTGATTGAAGTTCAGCTAAGATGGTTTTCAATTTAATATCACTCTTTAAACACAAATCACACAACCATTGATTTAGTGACACACCAGGGTGAAAGGAGACACTGAAACACATTGATAAAGTGTAAGGTTTCCACCTCTGACTCATAACTCAGTGTTGTTTCATTTCACTCCAGTTCAAACACTCTCTATTGTGACCGTCAAAGGGACTTAGTAAAATGTGTTTTTTTCCACTTCCTCCATTTCCATATGTTACAGAAACAATAATAGAGAAAGCACATCATCAATAAATTTCCCTCAGAATGTCTAAGTTATTTTCTGAGAAGTAAACATAAATTCTACATACAACACATAAAACCAAAACTGTATAAAAATAACTTGAATTTAAATATGATCAAGTTATGATTTGGCCTTAACACAATCATGAGTTGAGCCTGAGTGATGGGAAATGTTAATCTATATAAATAGTAGACATAAGACAACAGGGTATGCCACTCTTAATTAGAAATAAACAAATTTTAAGTCAAAAACTAAAAAAAAAGCAACATCATTATATTATGATAAAAGTGTTGTTTAACAAGAAAATAAAACAATTGAATTTAGTTGTGAACTGAACATCAGAACCTTTAAATACATAAAGAAAATACTAACTAAAAAAAAAACAAACAATGAAAACACCAATAGTAGGAGAATTTAATATCCTTCTCTGAACAGTGGATATATCATATATACAGAAATTCAATAAGGCAACAGCAGACTAGAAGTCCACTCCGTGCTAAACAGATCTTACTTATATGTGCAAAACATTTCTGATGATCAGAATAGAAGAAAAGTAATTCTTATGCATCCATAGAACATTCTCCATGTAGAACGTGTAACAGAAAGCACACCCAAGAAGAGAAATATCATATCAAGTACCTTTTTGGATCACAGTGGTACAAAAGTAGAACTCGGTAACAGACAAATACTGAAAAATTCAGGAATAAGGGGAAATTAATCAAAACCATACAGAAAAACTAATGATTCAAAGAAGAAATCAAAAGAGAACTTAAAAACTATCTTGAGACAAAGCAAAATAGAAACATAACAAAATAAAACCTATTCGATACAGCAAATGCTTAATTGGATACAGCAAAATGAACATTATAGCTAGAAATGTGTATGTGAAGGAAAAAGCCCCCAAATCAACACCTTAACTGGATAAAGAAAAGCAAGTCCAAAATGACTGTAAGGAAAAAGTAAAGATTACAGTAGAAATACATGAGAGTCTATAAGGAATTAGAAGAGCAAAATAATCCCAATGTGCAAATAAAAAAATAAAGATAGAATAGAAATAAATAAAAGACTAGAAAATAGAAAATATAAATAAAACTAAGTTTTGGATTTCTCAATAAATAAAATTAATGAAACTGCAATTGACTAATAAAGGAAAAAGAGAGACAGAGCTCTATTAAATAAAATTCTAAATGAAAAGGATACCATAACAGATACCATAAAATTTTAAAACAACCATAATTAACTATGATGAACAATTATTCACCAGCAAATTGAATAACCCAAAGGAACTCCAGTGGGGCCTAGAAATATAATCTACTAAGACAGAACAATGAAGAAATAAAAAATTGGAACAAACTAATAATATACAAGAAGATCAAATCAGTAAAAAAGCAATACCAAAAAAATAAAAGTTAAAACACAGATAGCTTGGTTGACAAATCAAAACGCATCTTTGAAAAAGAATGAATACCACACTATGGGTGAGGCCAAGTTCAGGCCCCACCCTGGGGGCCCCCTGTCCTGCAACTTCTCCTGGCACACCTTGCTTCGGGACCTAGGCCCACTACTTAGTCCTTCCCTGACCCAGAGGCAAAGGAGGATGAACTACAGAGTCAGCTCAACATGCAGGCAGCCAGGGGCCTCATACCTCTAGCAGACAGAGGAGTCCCGAGCCTTTGGCTTATCTCATTTTTATTCACTCAAACACAGGCACAAGCAATCAACATAACACAAGATTTCTCTGGTTTCCAATGTGCATCAGTATGTTCTCTGGTGAACAACTTAATCTCAGCTCTCTTAACTTTTCCCTAATATGCAGTCACCCTGGAGCTCAGCTTTTCTCCTTTGTGTAGTTAGGCCTTAATTCTTCTCTGTTCCTCAACACCATGCAGTATAACAACAAGTGAAAATCACATGCCAGTATCCCTGATGAAAGTAGATGCAAAAATTCCCATACCAGCAAACTGGTTCAACAGCAAACTAAAAGGATCACACACCATGATCAGGTGACATTCATTCCTGGGATGGAAGAGTGAATAACATAGAAATCAATGAGTGGAACATACTAACAGAAGGAGAGATAAAAATTACATAAGTTTAAGTGTTTGAATGAGATGAAGCATTTGACGATTATTTATATAGAGCATCTTAACTACCCAGAAAAATGAGTTTCATCGTGACAACTGCATGCACACACACAGCTTACTTTCTTCATGTTCTATCATTTCCAACATCCCTAATCCTTCCCCCCATCTCCTAGAACTCCATCTTCCTAATAGTTTCATTATCAGTTTATGTCACTTGTAAAATTGAACATGCATTTATAATAAAAACACTCAACACAATAAGTGTAAATGAAATTTGCCTCCAAATAAAAGGGCTATGGATAACAAGCTCACAGTTAACATCATAACTCAATTTCTAATATGTCCTGTAAGATCAAGAACAAAATAAGAGTGCCCACTCTACCACTTTTATTTAACATACTACTCACGGGCCTAGCCAGAGAAATTAGACAAGAAAAAGAATTTAAAGGGCTCCAAATTTGGAAAGGAAAAAGAGAACTGTATGTTTGAAGGTGATATGATCTTATATAGAGAAAGTCTTACATAGTATATACAAACACTCACATACAAGTGCTATTAGATCTAATAAATGAGTTCAGTACAATTGTGTGATATAAAGTAAATATTAAAGAGTCAGTCACATTTTTGTATACTAATTGCGAATGGTCTTAAAATAAAATAGATGAAACAATCCTATTTCCAGTCATCAAACAGAATGAAATGCTTAGGAATAAGTTAAACCAAGGAGGTGAACATCTGTACATTAAAACCTATAAAATACTGATTTAAAAAAGGCCAGCATTATTCTGGACCGAGAAAAACTACATATTCCCTTCCAAGGGTAAAGAGCTCCATGACCCAACAACTTCTCACTTAAAAGGCTCCACTTCTTAATGGTCCCAACACCAAATTGAGGGTCAGCCTTCAAAACATGAAACTTTGGAGGAACAAATCACATTCAGCCATACAAAACAAGATGAAATACTAACTCACATGTCTTAGGATGATATTATCAAAAGACAGGAGCAGACAAGTGTTTGCAAGGAGGTGAACAAAAAGGCATCCTTGTGCCCTGTGGATGAGAGAGTAAACTAGTACAGCCACTATGCAAAACAGTTCAGAGGTTCCTCAAAAAAACTACCATTACATCTAGCAATCCAACTTCTAGAAATATATAAAAATATATACAATCACTCTCTAGAGACATCTAGACTTCCATAGTCATTGCAGTATTATCAGCAGTAGGGAAGAAATGAACGCAAAGTGTCTGTTGATGGATGAATAGATAAAGGAAATATGAAAATGTACTTTCTGCACACACACACAAGCACACACGTACTGGGATATTATTTCACCCTAAAATGGATGTCTTCTCATTTGCAACAACATAGAGAATGTGTAGGACATCATTCCTAGAGAAATAAGTCAGACAAAGAATGATAAATACTGTATAATCACACTTATTTGTAGAATTCAGAAAGTCAGTCTCCTAGAAACAGAGTAGAATGGTGGCTAAAATGGAGTAGAAGTGGGGAAATGGTGACATATGTGACAGTTAAACAATAACTTTTGGGCATCCATGCTATCATGGTGACAGTGGTTAACAGTATTACATTTTATAAGTGAAACGCTTATGGAGATCCTAAATATTCTTAGTAAAACAAAATAGGTAACTATGGTAAGTAATAAAGATGTGAACTAACTTGATTGTGGTAATATATATTGTGGCAATATACACAGTATTTATGTATATCAAATAAGCATTTTGTAACTTAAAACATATAGTTTAAGTTGACAATTATACATCAATAAAAGTAAAGGACAAAAAGAAGAAATAATAAGTGGAGGAACCATATAGAATTATATCAGTTAATACACCTTGTCAATTAGACAGAAAAGCTTCGTGCACAAATATCAGACTCCGGTATAGTCTGTGGCACATGCAAAATGCTCAATAAATGCTTATTTTTTTTAACAAGTACATAAGTAAATAAACACATAAGCATGCTAACAAGTTTTCATAAGTGGAATAGTTGACCACTTCACTAAAATTCTATGGACATTCCTTACACATCAGGAAAACTTTATTAGCTCTCTGTATCATGATGCATCCATTAAATAGATATTCATCATTTCACAAACTGACCCTTGAGGTCTATCACAAAGGACATCATTCCAGCCCCATTTTCCACGATGGTTTAGTATAACGCAATGTTCATTCCTGTTATTGGGCTCATTAAGATGCCAGAATCTGAAAGGGAAAAAAACCCAACAGTGCTTTGAAAGGGGTCAGAGACAGTAAAGGAACTAGGGCTGGACTCAGTGGAGGTCTGGGTAATACACACCCAAGCCAGCCCTCCCCACTGCACATGCAGCTCCTCTTTCACCTGCATCTCAGACATTTTCCTTGGAAAGTGTGCCCACATCTGTGCCTACCCAGGTGCACCAAAAGTCCCCCAGCAGATATCCCAAAGGGTCTCCTCCACCTGCTTATCCTCACATCTAGTTCCCCAGGGACCATCAGTGCATGGAGCTCCTTCCTTTACATGAAGAAAAGATTGCACCCTGGTCCTTTATATCACAATAGGTTTTTTCTTTCTTTAATGCAACGATTGTGGAATCTGAACTACTGTTAGATCTCAGAATTGTCTACTAATTCCTATTTTCCTGGACTAGTAAGATCTAATTCTATACTCACGTGGCACTCTCATTGTATGGAGTCTGATCCACCCATTGCCAATGTCTCTGGCCGTGTGGGTCTGACAGCCCCACATAATAAGCAGTGTTAGTTTTCATATACTGGGTTATGAAGTGCTAAGAAAAGAAAACAAAAAGAAGCATAGCCTTACAGTACTCACCCAGAATTGAGTTACTTTGCTTTTTAAAAAAATAATTATACTTATTTTCAAACCTTAATTATTTGTATACTTGTAAAAATTGGTAGGATACAGTGTGACAATATATGTATACTCTGTGTAGTGATCAAATCAGTTAGCATTGCCTTATACCTAAACATTTTCTTAAATTTTGATGAACATTTAACTATATATTTTGGGTGTAGTGTGATATTTGAAATTAATTTTAATGGTGGTAGCAAATGAGAAGAAAAGGAAAGGTTCGAGGGACAGCTACATAGAGTCACCAAGAAGTCTCTGGAAGAGCAGGTTAGCATCACATACATCATTTGTGAGCCTGATTTTCATTCCACATGGAAGTAAAGTCCATCTATGATCACAGCGAACTTATTTCAGAGTCACTTCTCCTGTTTTATCACTAAAAGATGTTATTCTTCAAAGTTATATGTGAGAAAATATTTGCAGATTTAATCATTTTTTCTTCAACTATAACTTAAGAAATACTTTGTGTTTCTGGTTGATGTTGACTCATATGATTTAATTTTATTTCCCTATTCAGTTTAATACTCTTTTCTGTTAAGCAGTTCACAATGTTTAAAATATTTACTTACTGAATTAACACACTGAATTTCAGGAAGATATACAGAGTCTGCAAAAAAATGTATATACACTTCAGGAAAAGAAAAATAGCATGATGTTTTTTCAACCAATGGTGTTTCCCTGATGTGGGGACCCCTAGAGGATGTCATATATAGAAGAAAACCCACTATACTGCCAGCCTTTAGAGAAAAAATTGAAAATGCACATGACCAAGGTTACCCAAGCCATAGTTTGCCATACTAATAAATGTCTGGAGTTAATGACCACCACTTTGAACATCTCTTGTAATTGTAAAGGCCAAAAGTAACTTGTATTAATCTCATGATGCCTCAATGAGTTTAGTATTAAAATATTTACACACATTTTTTTTTTCCTGTCATGTGTATACATTTTTTTGGTGGACTCTATTTTCATCTTTCCAGTCAACTCCCATGAGAAATCTTTCACAATTCCCTATTTCCTTTGGGTTCATTAGTTTTACAGAAACAGAAAAAAGGCACAGAATGTCAATGCTGAGGGGCCTTTCCCATGTCTTTTATTGAAATCCTTCGGCCACAACACCATATCTTAACCAATTATTTAAATAGAGGTGATGAAAAATTGCTTTTTTCATTAATTTTTATAAAATAATATAACAGGAAATATAAAAACAACAATTTTATCAAATGTATTCAATATCAGAATCAACACATTGAAATGACACCTAGTTAGTAAACTGTTGAGTGCTTAAAACAGTAAGAGCCACCTCTTTTGTAGCAAAAGTAGACCTTCAACAGACAGATGGACTACACCTCTCTTGTCTCTTGCACAGTACCTGCTCCTCTTCGCTGGTGATCACCACCAGATGAGCCTCCATGCTAGAGCAGCGTTCGTTGCTCTCTTGCCATGATTTTGATTTGGTTGAGTAGAAATAGCAGTGGGAACTAAATGACTCCCAGTTCTTTGGGCAACAGCTCCAGACTTTGTCTTCATTGGGAATAAGGACATAAAAGTGCAATAAAAGAAAACCACTTGAAAAAGGGTATGTTATTAAAAGTATGAAGAATCAACAACTGGGATCTCATCTTATTAAAAAGCTTCTGCACTTCAAAAGAAACCACCAACAGAGCTAACAGACAACCTGCAATATGGGAAAAAATTTTTAGCAGCTGTACCTAGACTATCTAGGATATATAAAGAATTGAAAAAAATCAGATCCCGCAAATTCAAAGACCCAATTCAAAAATGGGCATCTGAAATGAACAGACATTTCTCAGACAAAGAAGTAAAAGCAGCAAACAAATACATGAAAAAATGTTCAACATCACTGGTCATTCGAGAGATGCAAATGAAAATAACACTGAGATTCCACCTCACCCCAGAAAGAATGGCTGCTATCAAGAAATCAACCAATAACAAATGCTGGCAGGGTTGTGGGGAGAAAGGAACCCTTCTCCATTGCTAGTGGGAGTACAGACTGGTGCAACCACTGTGGAAGTCAGTATGGAGATACCTCAAAGAACTAGGACTAGAGGTCTCATTTGACCCAGCTATTCCCCTGCTGGGTATCTTCCCAAAAGAATTAAAAGAATTATACCACAGTGATATATGTGCACCCATGTTCATAGCGGCACGGTTTGTGATAGCTAAAGTTTGGAAGCAGCCCAAGTGCCCATCAACTGGAAACTGGATAAAGAAGATGTGGTTTTTTTATAAAATGGAATACTACTCAGCCATAAAGACCAAAAAACTAGAGTCATTTATAGCTAAATGGATGTATATTGAGGCCATACTCTTAGGTGAAATAAATAGGACATACATGTTGTAAATACCAAATAGTTTCTCCAGTTTGAGAAACAGATAGTGTAAACAAGGGTTAAAATGATTAAAATGAATAATTGATAATTTGAAATAGGAAAAAATGTCCAAAGACGAAGGAGTGAAGGGAGGGGAAGGGGAAAGGAAAGGACGGAAAGGGAAAACTATGAGAAAAGAAAAAAAATAGAAATGAAATCTATGTAAATAGGGAAGGGTGGAGGGGGTGAAGGGCACACAGGTAATGGGGAAAAAAGTAAGAACCAAGATATATCATGTACAGGTACAAACACCCAATGATAAATGTAAACGAATTGTATACCTAAAATGTACCAATAAAAGAACTAAAAAAAAAAAAGTATTAAGAACTCTAAAAATACCAAAGTAGAAGCTGGAATGGCCATCATTCCAGACATAATAAGCAGAGCTTGTCCCTGGTATGTGGAAGCCAAGTCTACTTTCTTAGGTGGTAATGGGGCAGGGTTCCTTTTCCCTGCAGAAGTAGTATGAGAGAAAGCCAGAGCAAACCTACTGCTTCAATAAACCCAGACTCAGAACATAATACAAAAATTTCCAGGGTGGAATGGAAAACAGTCTACAAGAGACAGGAAGTTCTCAAAATAAATAATTGTCAGTAACCAAGATAATGAAAATATTAGAATTATGTGATAAAGATTTTAAATTAACCATGATAAAAATTCATCAAAAAGAAGTTAAGCATTTTTAAGAGAAATGATACTATAGACTCAGAAAAGAAATAGAACATAAAGAGAAAAATCAAGTAGAAATTTTCTCACTGAAAAATGGAGTAACTTTTTGAACATTCAGTGAATAGACCCAACAGCAGGTGGCTGCTGGTGGTACAGACACATGTAAATTGTTCAACGGAGCAATAGAAATCACCCATTGAACAACAGAGACAAGATAGCCAAAAAACAGAGTCCCATATCATAATGTTAAATGAGTATGTGCCAAACAGTAGGGGTGTGGACTACATTAAGTAAAAACTGATACAAGTGAAAGGAGAGTGGAAGAACACATTATTATAAGTGGGGAAAACCATACAGAAAATCAGCAAGAACAGTTAAGAATTCAATAAAATCATCAACCAATAGAATCTATTTAAGAGTTTTAGAACACTCCATGAAGTTACAGAATACCCATTTTTACCACTGCCAAGAGAACACATTCTAAGATAGGATACAAATTGACAATAACAAAAACAAACAAACCTTAACACATTTTAAGTCCTTGAAATTACATAGAAAGTAAGTCAAAGGGACACAGGAGAGAAGTTAAAGAGCTTGCTCTCTCCAGAGCTAGGAAAACAAGATAAATGAAGTAATAATAGATTATAATCCAAAATATAAAGTGAATATCCAAAGGTATAAATGATTGAAGGCATTAGTAATTGATATAGGAGAAAAACCAAGCATCCACAATTACGTCATATAAGTTACATGAATCTTGATGTCTACTTTCACATGTTATTTTGGTCAAAAAATCTGGATACTTCTTTCTAGGGTGTTTTGGAACACAAACACACACAAACATGAACTTTACTTAGGGATAATACATCAATATTTGCTCAACAGAAGTAACAAATACCCTTATTCATGCATGATGCTAAGAATACAAAATATTCTGTGTATGGGGTGGGGTTAAAATTGGAACTTTTATGTCATACACTCAATTTTTATAAATATAAAATGTTATTTAATATATAGATTTTTAAATGGAAATAATTAATACTTTTAAGAAGTGAGGCATCATTATTTTCATCATATGTTTATAACTAAGATGTGAGAAAGAGCAATGTCCATAAAACATTCAAAATGAAACAAAGACTAAAGAAATCCAAAACCACAATAACAATCAAGCCTTGCACAAGTGAATGTACACATGTAAGAACTTTAGGTCCCATGTAATTGTACATTTGTAGCTTTTAATGACCATGAGACTACATTCTTAATATGATCTACCTGGGAATCTTATTGGAAATACTGACATGGGATCCTTTTATACTATTTTTAGCAACTGAATTCTAGGCAAAGAAAAATTTTACCTTTTTTGGTTGAATTGCTTCTTTTACATTCCAGTTCTGTGTGCTTCTGTGTGCCTTCTTTGACAATTGTCTCTTCTTCAAGAAGCTGAGTATATTTTTGAAAGAAAACTAGAAAATACAATAAAAACATTCATTTTCCTGCAAGCATTATGACTGTGCTCTCTACTATTCCTTTCTTTCATTCCTTACAGAAACATAATGTAGAAAAGCCCAATGACTTAAGTAGACAGAGTCTGACTGGGGAAGTTTTACCCTCCTCCAAGAGTTAGTGGAGTCCTAATTCTGCTGATGAGGAATCCATAGATATTTCTAGAAAAAGCTGAATGATCAGTAGTTGAAAGACGACATGGGAGTTCCATCATAACGAATCTAGAAGGACTTGCCATATTTTCTTTCAATACTTAATGTAAGATGCACCCAAAGGGTCAATCTTAGGGTGGGAAGATTATAGGCAGACAAATACTTGCATTGAAGGATTCATAGACTGAGACTTTGGGGGAGCAAAAAATTAGCTAAATATGAGCCATTTTGGGTTGAATAGAAAATTTTTTTAAAAAATTGACTGAGGAACATTGCTCTTTTCCTCTTCTATCCTTTAACTCTCTCCACATGACCTGACCCTTACTCCTCCGTAACCCACACTAACCTGCCTTCCTCAATTTATAAGTAACTCACCTTTCCCCCTATAAAGTGAATTTTATCCCTTTTCCCCTTAAACCTAACCTTGATATTTGTTCCTTGAATGCCATCATTCTGGCCTTTGTTCCCACCATTTCACTAAAACCTTTCTTGAATTAAGTTTTCAGTACTGTCTCGGGTCTGCTGACTCATCTTCAGCCTATGGGATGTCTCACAATACCAGACCGCAGTTCTCCTCCTGCCTAACTCCTGGCATGCTGCACTTTGATGTTTCTGTCCCACCTTTCTCAAGCTGCTTCATCTACTCTTTTATAAGCTCTATTTCTTCTACTTGTGTCTCTTAAAATGGAATATTCCTTAGAGTCCATCCCTATCTTTCATTCTCAAACTAAATCTTCTTGAGTGATACCATATATATTCCTGTTGTATTACCAGCTGCCTGTGGGTGAATGATTTCCAATTCTAGACCTCTCTACTGAAATCTCTTGGTAGGATGCACATTTAAAATGCAACTCAACAAGTCCAAAGGTTAAATTATCTTCCAACCCAAACCTGCTACTTGTCTTAAGTGGTCTACGTTTTTCTAACAAGTTCATGACTGCTGAGTTTACTCAGTCAGAATATCAGAGTCATACATAACATCCCAGGGTTCTTTAATACTGAGATTTAAATATTCACCAAGACCCTACATCCTTAGCTCTATCTCCTTTATCATTCAAAGCCACCATCTCTTCTCTTTCTTCAATAACACTGTCTTAGATGATGCTCTATTTCTCAATTGGATTATGAATGTGCCTTCTAAATTCTCTCTTTACCTCCATACTCAAACATCTGTAAAAGCATACTTCTACAACTCAAATGTGATAGAATCCCTACTTAAAATTCCTTAGTGGCTCTCCGTGACTGTGATAACCTGTGAAAATGGCCACAGTTTTCAACCCTCCCTGTCTCCACACTACTTTTCAGTGTGACTTTGCACCTTCCGCAATCAGGAAATGGAAACTATTTCTCCACCACTTGAACCTAGGCTGCTTTTAGTTCTCCCTGTGATCAACAGAATGTACAGAAGCAGCACAATGCAAGATCTGAGTTGAGATCTCAAGATGCCCTGGTGTGGCCAGCTCAGCCTTGGAAGTCTGCATGGTGCCACATGAACACACCCAGGCTGGCCTGGCCAGGGAAGGCAGAAATGTGGCCCCAGCTGTCCGTGTCATTCCAGCTGACACGCACTGTAAGCCAATATCTGCAGAAACCCATACCTTTGTTAAATTGGGTTTTAGACCACATACATTCTTGAGCCTGACAGAAATAATTGGAAGGATATTCATGTCACAAATCTTTCTAGAATACTTCTTTCCATCTTTGTCTTGTCTACCTGCTCATCCCAGATGACAAGTGCCTGTGTACTCAAATAGGGCTGGCTTTATAAATCCTACAAAAGAAGTACATGTCTTCACACAGAGTCTAATGGAAGAAACAGCAAAATCCCCAGCGAATTCCCCTGAATTTTATCTCCCTAAACTAAACTTTCTTTTCATATATCTGGATAAGCCCCTTGTTAAATGTGAGTTTCTAGTGGACACGTTCTCTTCTTTTAGGGGGAAGGTGGCCTCTTGATTCAGCTGGCATACTTACTGATAAAAGCAACAGTGAATACGATGGACAAAAGGATGAATAGCAGCAATGGGACAAGAAGTATCTTGGGAAAATAAAGATTACTTCTCTGAGGGCTGGTCTTCTCTTTGGGAACTGAGGAGAAGCCAAATTAGTTTCATGAGTAATAAATTCTATCCTTATTTCCTCTTCTTCTCCCTCTTTCTCCCTTGCCTGACACATAATTACTAATAATGTGGAATTAAAAATATTAACAAATAGGAATGTGAAAGAAATAATGATGTACTTTATTGAAACTACACAAAACACATAATATCCCATTGAGAAAAAAATCAATACTTTTGTATACATCTTTTCAGTATTTTAAAAGTGTATATACACATAGGTACATTTTCCTTCATAAATGACAAAATATATATATTGATTTCTGACCTACTAATTCTTTTTCACGGTTATTGTGAACATTTTTGATATTACTGTGTATTCTTACCACATTTTATTAAGTTTGCATAGTATTTCATTGTACTTTTAAATATATGAAAGATTGTGTCCACTTGACAGCTTTAATTGCTATAGCAAGCATCTTTATAATCATACTTCACACCTTTGTTAAGGCCAGTTTTTCAGTCTCCACCTTAGGGTGCTGCCCTGGGACAGCACTGACCTAGCTTATAAGGGTCCTTGAGTTCAGTGAGGGAGAAAAGTGCCAAGTGAACAGAAACCATTTTCTTAAACCTATGAAAGGATGTGGAGAGGAAAAAATTTCAGTATTATATGATATGATTTCATTTTTAGAAAAAAAAATATATACCTATCCATGTACATCTCTATGCAGAGGGTAATAGCAAGAAGCAAAGTACAGTTTTCTCCAAATGGTCAGAGTAAAGAAAATACCCCAAATCTTTTCTTTCCTGCTTTGTAACTCCTTGCCCTCCCAACCCTTCTCTGCACAATCCAGAGATGTTTCCTGGACTCATCAGGCGAAAGAAGCAGCAATCAACCTCACCCACCGCATTCAAAGATTCTGTGCTCACCATCACCTCATCATTAATGCTGGCAGATACAACTTTTTCTTTACCTGCAGGCGAGTCCGGGTCGGGGCCTGAGGGCTTGGATTCAGCTTTGAACCTCAGTTCAGCGTAAGTGATTTCTGCAGCCATGCTGAGAAGAGACCTACTTTCTTGGGAAAATGTGTTTTATCCCTCTTTAAAATATGTCATGAACGAAAACCAAAGATGTAGTAAATTCTCCAGGTGTTCGACAAGACGAGAGCAGCCACAGTAAATAGCGCAGTGCCTGGGAGAAGTTTCTCAAGAGAATCGGAAGCCACGAGGTGGGAGCACGGGGTCAGTAGACAGAGATCCATTCCCCGGGATCAGTCCATGAAAACTGTGGCCTCAAAACACATGCAATGCAGCTGGCCAGTGTTACAGAAATGTCCATACACACGCCAAAAGGAAGAAACAGGAAGGGAGAAAAAGAGGAAGCAAGCAACTGGAGAAGTCTTTCCTGAGAACTGTAAACTCTGAACACAATGCCAAAGGGGAGCCAAGGGGATGAAAGAAGAATTAAGATGCATCGCGTACAGGTACCCGCTCCCTGTGAGGAATACAAGCGTCACATTCTGCAAACATGTACTAATAAAAACAAAAATTGAAATAGAATAAATCAAAAAAATTAAGGAAATGGAAAAAGGAACATGTGCTTCTGTGTACAAATACTGTTACTTACAAATCATCCCACTGGACAAAACATTTGTGCATGTAGTTTTCACTTCATTTGTCGCTGCTCTCAGGCACAGTCTAGGAACCACATTCTGCGAGGTTTGTTGCCACAAACGAAGACGTCAGCTTCCCTTCTTTTCAAGAGTCAGCTCCCCCTAGTGGGGTAGGGAAGGCACGGTGCAAATTCAATGCCTGCTGAACTGCACTGTGCTCCCTGCCTTCCGCTGTTGCCGGTGATTGATTCCTCCACGCACCGCCATTATTCTGCTGCTGAACACCTCCAAGACCCCTGAAAGCAGCTCTCTTTATTGAACGTTAAAGAGAGAGTGGGTTTTCATCTCATACTTCTCTGTCCCTTCCATCCCACACCATTTCAATACATAGCTCTACAGGTACACATCACCTATTTTTAAGGAGATAATTAAATTTTTTTTTTTTTTTGTACCGAGGATTGAACTCGGGTCCTTGAGCTTGCACAGCAGACGGTGAAGCCACTGAGCTGAATCCCCGGCCCCGAGATAATTAAGATTGAATCAGTTGTACACAAGGGCAAACATACATGGAACTCTAAATAGGGTGTTTTTGCCCTGGGCCAAGAGGGAAACACTCCAAAAATTTAATCTTTCCCATGGAACATTTCCACAGGCCTGCTCCAAACATGCCCGGTTTCTCCTTACTCTACTCCCCTCTTAAATCTCTCCTTCCTGCACATCACACACACACACACACACACACACACACACACACACACACACCTCTACATATGTCTCTATTTTATTTCTATATTGATTTCTCTATGTCTATGTATGGAAATCTATGAGTTCATGCTAATACCTCTTAAGCTCAAAGCAGTACAACAGGTTTCATCTTAGTTTGCTCAATGTCCACATTTTTAACTTGTTTCTGTGACAATGAGAAATCCGTTTTAATTATCTTTATCTCATTTGCTCATTTAATTCTGCAAGATCCCTCTCCTGACTCATTTTGGACTCTGACTCCCCGTGAAAACTGACCTCATGCATTCATGCCCTTTTCACCCTGCTTCATCTCAGGCTCTCTGTACTCATTCAACCCTCCACACAGATGTTCTCTTTCGCTTTCAGAATCTGACTTTCCACACCAGGCCCCTGCCCTTTGTGGACACACTTCTCAATCTTCTTATCCGCCAGTACTCTGTCCCACGCCAGTGCTGTGTGTAGGCACTGACACCATCACAGTGTTCTTGATGCCAGATGCTTTCCCTCCACCATGGTCACACTGTCCTCACTTGGCTTGGGCTCTAAATCCACTGTCCTACGACACCTGCATGCCCACCCTGCTCCCTGCTGAGCTATTCCACCTTGTGCCAAACCACTGCTGCCCCTCACCCTGCCATAGGCATTTACCTTACCCTGTCAAACCCAATGCTTTATGTAGAAGTCATATCTTTAAGTTTTCTCTTTATTGTACATGTTTTCAGTACATAATGATTGCATTCACTGTGGGGAGTTGGTGGATGTCTACAGCGTCTCAATTCTTTTTACCTCCCCGCCTACTTCCCCATCTCTTGGCTGCCTTTCAATTTACAAAAGATCTCCATTTCCTATTAGCTACCTTTTATTTTGTCCCCTAATTCATGTATATTTCTGATTTGTCATATAAGAGAAACCATGTAATATTTAGGTTTGTGTGTCTGATTTATTTCACTTTACATTATAGTTTCAATGTACATCCATTTTCCTACAAAAGGTCAGATATATTTTTCTTTTTAGCAGAGTAGTTATTCTGTAAGGAAAGGAAAGAGAACATGACAATGAATAAGGAAAGGATAAGGGAATTACAAGTTCTTTGCAATTAATTCGTGGACCCTACAAATACTTGCCTGTGGACAGGTTTCCATGAATTTACCTTCCAATATCATCTAAGCTCCTTAAATTTAAAAACAAAATTGCACTAGTAAGGCATGAACCTAAAGGTTCATATGTACTGGGAAAGCATTGTACCACAAAGCTACATCTACACCCACTTTCACTTCCTTTAATATTAATACAGGGTCTTACTAGGCAAAAAGTCAACAAAGAATTGTAAGAGTTGAGGGCCAGGGATTTAGCTCAGTGGTTCCCATGCCTGCCTCGCAAGCACAAAGTTCTGAGTTCAATGCCTGGTATCAAAAAAAAAGAATTGTAAGAGTTGAACAAGACTTTTGAACAAACAGACTTAATAAATATAGTGTTACACCCAACAACATCAGAATACACATTCTTTTCAGCAGCACATGGAACTTTCTCCAAAATGCACCACATGCTAGCCAATAAATCAGCCTAAAGTAAATGTAAAAGAATTGAAATTATACCATGTATAGTACCAGATCGTAGCTCAATGAAGTTAGAAATCAACAGTAAAAGAAAACATAGAAATTATGCTAATGCATGGAAACTAAACAATATACTCTTAAGTAAACAATAGGTTACAGATGAAATCAAGGAAAAAATAAGACAGTTTGTAGAACTAAACATAAAAGAACTTATGGGGCACAATGAAAGCAGTGACAAGAAGGAAGTGTATAGCCTTGAATGCCCACATCACAGAGATAGAGTGAGCCCCAATAACCTAACTGATGTGCAACTACGACATAGCATACAAAAAATACTTGAGCAGAAAGACCTGAGGGTGCAAAGGACTAGGGTATGAACTAGAGCAGTATATAGTTAAGCAGGCATGGAATGTTGAGATGAATAAAGACATTTCCATTTTTTAAAATAAAAGTACAGACATAAGCCACAGCAATTTAATTAATCACCATGTTTGATACTAGGATAGTGCCACTTTACTTATAAATGGATAAAGTCATATCTATCAGCCCAACAGCTGTGTTTCCTCATCAGTATGACAGAGATAACCATATCACCTACATGGGAGTGTCGTTAGTGCATGTTAATGGCCAAAGCTCAAAAGATGAGAGTTTGTTTTGGGTTCCTTAATTACACATAAAGCTATATAATATGAAGTCTATAAAAGGTCCGGAGCAGGATAACCAAGACAGCGTATGAAGTTCAGTCCTACTGCAGATTAAGTTGGTCGTGCAAGCTGATTTCTGCAATGTGTGTTCCCATCCTTCCCAGCTCTGCATTTTCTCCTACAAATGATTCCCCTACTCTGTGGCCCTGTCTTGGGCACTTCCCTCAGTTCCGTGACAATATCACTTCACCGTAACTCTTGCCTTTACCAATCCTGGCAGCCAGTTGGAGCACCGCTACCCAAGCATAGGAGCAGTGTGCAGGTATTTACTTGAAACCTGCCATGGACTGGGTCCTCTTCTATGAAGTAGGTACTATTATTCTCATTTCCATGTGAAGAAAACAAAGGGAAAAAAGTTAAAGTATTTATCCAAAGTCTAAAACCAGAAATTGACAGAGGCAGTATCTTCTCTGAAACCCATATTACTGGCCATCACTAAACTGCCCATCGATCACCTATTGTGGGTGAAGACAAGGCACCAGGGTGTCATTAAGTATGTTTCACTCAAATAGTCATTTAAGTATTTGGGTTTAAAGAACATATCATTCTGTACTTCACTTTCTGCCCAAACAACTGTTTTTCTATATTCTCAACAAAGTTTGGATCAGGTACAAGCTGAGACTCCATAGATAAAATATCCCCAGTCTTTCTTTTAAAAAAAAAATAGTACATGTTTGCTTTCGTTTGCGGTAACCACCGTCACTGTGTAGGGAGTTGTTTCCTGAACATGTGTCACTTCTTTTTCTGTGATTTCCAAGTGTATCTCAGCTGGTAGAGTACTTGTCTAGCATGTGCAAGGTCCTGGGTTTGATCCCCAGAATAGCAAAAGAGAAAAAGAAAAGAAACTGCTAAGCTCTTTTCCATTTTCCATAGTACCTGCTGTGCCATTTCTTTCTTTTTAAGTGATGCCTTCATCGGGAAATCTGAGCAGGATTTCCAGCCCTTGTGCGGGGTTTGCTGGAGGGAGCCTGCCTTCTAGTGGCCTCATGGTACTGTGCATCCAGATGCAACCTCCAAGTGCAATGCTTTCTCTAACTCCTTTATCCCAGAGGTGCAGTGACAAAACACACAGAAGAACAAAGAAAATATTGAAGAGGAAATAAAGAAATTGATGGTTGGCTCTAACTCACTATTTTTATGGAGAGTCTCATATACCTTTCAAAGAAGTCTGAAAATTAAAATCCTGGAAAACTCTGAAATAAATATCAGGCCATCAATTTGCCATATGAAAACCACCAGAAGGTTATGTCCCTATACATTCCCAGGCCAAATGGCGCGCAAATAATTAAAATTCTGCCCTTTTCCTTTCTTTGCAAGAATAGTATGAAATGGATGTAGAGCTGATGAATGTGAGGCCTGTTGTCACCACACTCCACCCTCTCAGGCCCAGAGCCATTTTGTAAACCAGTGTCATTATAATACAGTGTCCTAAAAAAATTACCGCTGACTGGGTCAGCGTCGGATGCAAACTGAAACAAGACTAGAAGAAGGTGAAGGCCCATTCCTGCTCCCCCAGAAAAAGTCACAAAAGTCCTACCCCCCTTAACAAACACCTTTTTCTTTGTTCTGTTAAAATTGAGGGGCTTAAAAGGGACCTTTATCCTTTTGTCACATGGGAATCTGACCTGGGAGAGTCATTTCTCCCCGTTTCTACTTATTCTCCAGCCGGAGAATAGACTTTCCTTCATTGGATAACTGGCTGTCGTTTTGCTTGAGTTCTGCAATTGTAATAGGGAGAAATAATCCAATTTGGGTCAAAAATTTGTAACAAATTTCATGCATAATACAAGGCTCCTTTTGGTCTGATTAGCCATGCACACCCTACACACCCTACACACACACACACACACACACACACACACACACACACTGGAG